CTTACCCAGACATCTCGAAATAAAACTTAATAGACTAAGATCTGGCCTCTTATTAAAATCACACCTTTATGCTCACAACTTCAAAGATATTACTGATCCTTTGTGCCATTGTGGTGTACCAATGACAACCATGCATTTTCTTTTAAAATGCCCACTGCTACTGAATGAAAGAAACAACCTCAATGCAGGCCTTCGTACTTACAATTTAAGTGACTTGTTCAATAATTACAACTTCAACGACAAATTACAATTTTTACTGTTTGGAAACACTAACCTGGATGCTACTATGAATGAAGCTTTAATTCATATTGTTAGCTATTATATACATACAAGTCTTGTTTTATTATCTATCTAGTAGTAATTTGACAAGTCCTTTTTCTGCAATGACCGACTTATTTTTCAAATTCCGTTAACATCCTGGCCCATGGGATAACCTTCAGGTATTTTGAAATAACCTAAACAAATTTTTCCTATTTCAATATCTAATATCTACATGCATATATAATATATATATATATATTAAATTGCTGCTAATGTTGAAAAACCTTGGCAATTAGTAATTATTGTAATTGAATGTAAATGTTTATATTAGTAATAAATTGATAACATGAAAAAAAAACTTTCTAATGGCACGATAAAGTGACACGATAATATTTACACATGGTTCCAGTATAACTATGAAGGTATAAATGAGATGTTGATGTATTTGGTCTTTTTAATTCTTTTATAAAAAATAATGTTTAATTTTTTTGTCCGCTGTGACGGAGCAGTTGCAAATATGAACTGTGAAAATGCTCCGTCACAGCGGACAAAAAATAATAATATTATTTTTTATGAAATAATTAAAAAGACCAAATGCATTAATATCTCATTAATACATTCAGAGTTATGCTGAAAACATATGTTAATATTATCGTGTCACTATATCATGCCATTAAAAAGTTAAAAAATAAATGGTACATTTTAGAGTTTGATACTCTGGCGCCGTTTTCAATAGATTTTACTCCTAGCGTTATTGGACTTCAAACAGAAGTGAAGGTTACACGCAAATGATATATCCATTGCATGGAGTAAGTAATTATCTTTGATATAACGAAACATATGAGTTAAAAAATAAATCGTGAAGCATTCTTAGTGTTTTTATGAAAAATAGCATGCTCCGTCACAGCGGACTAATCTTTCGATACCAGCCTGTGTTAGTGACATCACTAATGTTTCAAGATATTTTTGATAAGCTAAAACATTGAAGTGGCCCATTAAATATGACATTTTATTATTGAAATAGTGTGTCTTTTGTTCAATCTTTGCATTGGTGTTAAAAAGATAATATTTTTTGAAATGCATTAAGAAATATTTGATGATTAAGAAATTTCAACTTTTTTTGAAAAATGGCGGGAAATTTGAATATTTGAGAAATGAAATGCTCACAACTTTTTTTTCAAAAAATGTTTTTGTTCAAAAATCTCTAAAATCACCTTTTAAGCCCTGACAAATAGTAAATGAATGATAAAAAAATATTTTCAAACTTTAGACGGGGACTTTAAAACAGTTAATGTTGATAATCGAGTTCCCCACTTTAGAGGAGTGAATGTAATTTTTTGCGTAGAGTAGGCAATAGTTTAGTACAGATTTGATGTCATTTTCTGGATTATTTGTGATGCCAAGTAGTATTTCCCTATTGTTTAAATGAATGTTATTGAAAACAATTGACATGTCATTCCAGAAGTTAAAATTTTTAATTTTCTAACTGCGCATGACAGAACTCACTAATACAAATACGTTATAGATTTATGTAAAGATGTCAGGTCGGTCGTTCAGAATAAAAATTAATTTATGCACATAAATATAGGCTAATAGTAATATATTGAAAGCTTTGTATTTTTGGCTCACGGGCTAATTCATAGGGTAATCTAAAAATTTATTTCCATTCCTGTTCGGAGAGATTGTATTTTTCGTTGAAATATCGTTTCCCTGTTGGTTCTTTAAAAAGTATATTTGTTTTGTGGTGATGTGTTCTATATTTATCGTAGATTTTTTTTTTACTTGAATGTCATTTGTTCCTACAAATTTAATATTTTCCTTTTCATTTCGCAAAAGCGTTTTCCAATCTCTTGGGATTGCATGAATTATGCCATGATATATTACGAAAGGCGTAGTGATATTGTACTTCTGAATGAAATCTTCATATCCTATTGGTTCTCCATTAACATTTTTCTTTTACAAGGTTTTTAATTTGTTTTACGCCTCGGGTTTTCCAATTAGTGTCATTTACTGTTTTGTTATTTATTGTTAACCGTTTATTGTTCCAAATGGTTTCATTTGTTATTGTAGTTTTATCATAGGGTTCATCATTGTGAACTTTGCTCCAGGTTTTCATAATTGAGAGATAAAAAGGTGGAAAATTATTAAGGGCGTCATTTTAAATTTTATTTGAAATATGTCTTTCGAGTCGAGATTAGGCAGATTTGTACAAGAAAAGTTTCCATTTAGCCCTGTCGTTATCATATAATCGCTTCATCCATTGTATTTGTAACGCTTTTATCTGTGAATCGAAATAAATGGTTTTGATTCCTCCATTTTCTATTTCTCCTATTGTCGTATAATTGCTAATCAGGGGTTGTTTTCCGTTACACATAAAAGAACTTATAAGGTCTTGCACTTATTCGATGATATTGCTTGGAACGAGTAAAGTTGATGCATTATAGTGTATTTATTGCATCAATATTCGTAACATTAATATCTTCGGTTTTTACCCCACGGAGTAAGTTAAACCGAATATAAACAAAACCAGTTACAACAAATGAGACCAAGTATCCCACAAATGTCATATAATTGACTGTCTTACACAACAAATATGTAAGATGCTTCAAAACTGTATTCGACGCGATCAAATATAAATTTGTTAAGTATTTTAAATATATGCGATGCCAAGTACCATTATATTGGGTAAACATATTCATTTGTGGTAAACATATTCATTTGTGGGGTAAGTCACGTGACTTACCGAAAGATTTTATATAAACCAATGTTCACTGTTTTGATGTGGGGTAAGTTACATGACTTCAGTCACGTGACTTGCGCCATCTATATATTCTAAGAGCTCTTGTGTGATTTTCCAATCGCGAACACGTATCTTCTATTAAGAAAGGATCGCTTGTAACCTCATGCTGCAATTATCTAATAACTTCTCAATTTCCTCTCTGAATTGTGAATATGAATCTTGTTCAAATTCTTTTTCCTCGCTTGTTTCATCCATTTTGAGATAATTTCTACGTCACTGGTCACGTGATTTACCGAATGATTTTATGCAACATGCAGCATGTGTCATTTATGTGGGGTAAGTCACGTGACTTACCCCACATGATTTTATGCGAAACTACATGCCATTAATTATGTGGGGTAAGTCACTATATGCCCGTGCTATTTTGTACTCTATGATTGATCGGTAAATGAACACTGTTTGGTTCTAAAGTGTATTTGTATTTGATGCGTGTTCTAAATATATGTGTCAACCATCATTGTTCGTATGTGTACATGGACTTAAATATGTGACATTTTACCAAACACTGAATAACATAAACCGCATATACAAGTCCATTTACCGCACATATAGGTACATAAATCACATATAAATGTGTAAAAACAAACACATTTATTACGTGTTTCAAATTATTTTAATAGAGTGGAATATCGAATGGATGTAATCAAATACAAAAGTGTGAAAATCGAATAAAGATGCAGAAAAAATTCCATATATGCAAGGTATGTTAGTTTTGATATTGCAAGGGCTTTGATTATTGCATTTTTACAATCAGGCTTAAATTTCTCCAGTTCCAGATTTTGAAAAGGTTCTCCATTGCTTTAACTTTTGAAGAAAAATTTAGGTCATTTCTTTCATTCAGATCGTGATTGTTTATTTGAATTTATTGGAGGTTTGACACGCAACCTATTGCTATCAAAAACCTCTGTTCTGCCGATAAACCCATACAATTGGCGATTCAGTTGAATTAAAAGAATTCTAAACTACTAAGTATTGTATCAAGGTAGGTCATTTACCCTACTATCACACCAAGCTAGTTTTCACTACGTTCTCGAAAACGGGCTTCAACTGTGTACGAACGGACTGGACGTACTAAGAACCGTTTGTGGTCTATTTACAAATTTCATCGAACATACTCGAACGGGTAGGTCCTCTAGAACTTAGAACATGCTCAAAATGTTCTCGTGGTCGATACGTTCTACAATTAGAACTAGTAAGTGACAACATACTAACGACGAGCTGGCCGAGTTGAACTGTCTGAGGACGTATTGAGAACGAGGTAGAACTAATTGCAAACGGGTTTAAACTGATTAAGAACGTATTAAAGACTGCTTATGAACGAGTTTAGCAAAAATATAGCTATCACACCAAACAAGTTGCCACTGCGTTCTTCAAAACTGGTTTTAAACGGTGTGCGAACGGAATGAACGTAGCTGCAACTTTCTAAGGTCTGTTTACGAACTTCATGGACGTTCTCAGATGGGAAGGTGATTTAAGAATTTTGAAACGATTGAAATGATGGCGAACATACCCTTCTGTAATCAGGTCATGATGACCTTCTAGACTTAGGGACGCGTTATATTACATTGCACATTGATGTGGTGCGACCTGAACGAACTGCGAATGAGATGGACGTATTGAAGACTGTTTATGAACGAAGTAGCTAATCATTTTAGACATATTTCCCGACCACAGCCAGATTGAGCCCGTTTTACGACGTTTTCGTAGGACTGGCAAGAACGGGTAAGAACTAGTTTGGTGTGATAGGGGGTTAGGTGTGCGATGCGTAGTATTTTCTCCAACTTTCTGAAAACATTGGCTGACCAATGGTTCGTGCGTGCGACCACAATCTAAAGTGGTCGTAGAATTCGATAACTATAGGCCTACAAATAAAGCTTGTATCAGAGAAAAAATCTGTTTTATTTCAGCCCAGCTACGTCATAGCTTATACTTCACAACAATGGATAACATATTTTACATGACTGGTGTCCATGCTAATTTAGAGTACAGTGATATATGTCGTCTGATCCCATTCAACTTAACAACTCAAGATGCCACACGCCTTTTGCATAACAAGTTCATCGTTATCATGGGGGATTCAAGTAAGTTTTTTAGTTTTTATTATTGTTTCTCAAAATATTAATACAATTATTTTTGGCTAGACTCAAATAAGCATTATTGGTCAAATGTAAGTCAGAATTATTATTGGACCAATTTAAGCACCCTGGAATCCTAGAGGCAAGCAATTCAGAATCATAATTGGACCGAGTTAAGCACCCTTGGATCCAAGAGAAAAGTAAGTCAAAATTATAATTGGACCAATTTAAGCAACTTGGGGATCCCTCGAACAGACGGACAGACGGACTGGGATCAAGCATGAATAAAGCTTGTATTTGTGAAATGCAACTTTCGACTGTCGGCAGCCAGATTAACCTACTATTTTATGGCCAATAATCTTAATATTAATGGAATAGTGCCAGGTAGTATTCATATTTAAATGAGTTGCCCATAGAATAGGAAGTTAATCCGAACATCACGTTCGCGAATACAAGCTAACCCTGTTTTCGAGAATGCAACTAACGCCTGCCGGCTGTCGGTTGCCAACTATTTTATGACCAACTCATTTAAATATGAATTGAATAGTGACAGGTACTATATCTAGTATTCATATTTGAATGAGTTGCCCATAAAATAGAAAGTTAATCCAAATAGGACAGCCGAACTACAGCCTACTATTTTATGACCAACTCATTTAAATATGAATTGAATAGTGACAGGTACTATATCTAGTATTCATATTTGAATGAGTTGCCCATAAAATAGAAAGTTAATCCAAATAGGACAGCCGAACTACAGCCTACTATTTTATGACCAACTAATCTAGATATTAATGGAATAGTGTCAGGTACTATTCATATTTAAATGAGTTGCCCATAAAATAAGAAGTTAATCCTAACATCGCGTTCGCGAATACAAGCTACCGGCTACCGGATTAACCTACTATTTTATGGCCAACTCATTTAAATATGAATTGAATAATGGCAAGTTCTATTCATATTTAAATGAGTTGCCCATAAAAAGAAACTAAGTTAATCCAGAGTTCTGTATGACCTATAAGCTTACTATGATACCTTAGTTTTTACAGTACCTCTGCAACTTTGGAGACGCCAAGGGGGTTCTTCTGACCCCAGACCTTCCCCTCCCCCCGGCCATTAGTATAATGAAAAAATACGTTGTACATTAGGGTTAAAGATGCAAGCATATATATTTTCATTTTGTTCCAGATCAACGATCGGTCTACAAGGATCTAGTTTTCCTGTGCCAGAATAATCAGTGGACACCAGAGTCAAAGTTAGCAAAAAAGGTGAAAATCGGTCAAACATATTTCATACGCCGACAGGCAAAATGAACTGCAATTGAAATGGTTGAAACGATTGAAACGGTTGAAATGCAATTTACAGTGCTTACAGGGCTTGCAGTGTGATACTCATTTTAGTACAACATTAATTTTGTTGAGTAGCAATCAATGTTATATCATTTTAAATTGTAGACTTTAAATAAATTAAAATTTAAAATTTTGTTATGCAATTTACAGTACGATCTTTCAGGGTGAGCTTTCGTTTGAAAATGATGAGCTGATAGAGGGGGGTGAACTTGGCCTGATGATAAATGAGCCCACATACAGAGAGGTGCGGCAATACACATCCCAGAATCTCATCATAAGATTCTATTTCATCACACGTGCCTATAGTGACTATATGGAGACAATACTAGAGGACTTGGAATCCGGACCACAGCCTGATCTTATTCTCATAAACTCTTGTCTTTGGGACATGACGAGGTAGGTCACTGCAACCTCGGTCTCATCAAATTTTGACTTGAGCAACCATTTTGAGTAAATGACCAACTTTGGCAGGCATTTTGAATAGACTAGATGCGGGTAGAAATGATCTTGATTTACATACCATATTTGGAACCCACATGTAAAGTTACATCTAGAAATGTTGTTTTGAAAAGAGTTTATCAACTTTAAAAATTCAATTTTCTTTTAAAAGTTGACTTCTAGGTCGGGGAGATTCCCCATAGACCCAACGTTGTAAAAGCACAAAAAGTGAAATATCTTTTTTTACTGGACATATTTTAATTTGTATAACTATCAGACACATACGGGTAATATGGAAAGTGAACCACTTAAACTGTTGAATATTCAAGTTCAAGGGAATTTTGTAATACCCTGGCATGTTATTGCCCCCAAATCAGCCACCTGTTGACAAAACTGGTAACTACCTAGTCGCATCTGAGTTATTGAACTGCAGTACTTAAGTTAACTGATATGAATAAAATATGCTTTTTTCTAAACGAAACAATAGCGGTCATTTTCAGTCCAAACTTCATTTAAGATCATATTATTTGAGATTCCAACGCCCAGAGGGCAACGGGTAATAAAACCAGTATTTGAATTAGTAAGAAAACCCTTACTTTCTGAATTTCTTTAATTATCTTTTTACAAAAACTGGCCACCTTCTTGTCTCGTCAGGATATTCACATTAGAGTTCAGTATAAATTTTGTACCAAATCCGTTTGCTGGTATTTTTTAAACATATATTGGCGGCCATTCTGAATTCAGAAAACATCACGTAAATTCCTTTTTGAGCATAGGCAACAAGGCTTAAAAAATGAACTATATTCCATGAAAATACAGTACTAGTCACAATTGGGGTGATATCACTCTTTGAATTATTTCAAAACTTGTTTACAATAATTGAATGTATTTTTATAAATGTATGATTCAAAACACAAGGTATGGAATGGCTTTTATGGACGACTATAGAAGCAATCTCATTGCTCTGATGGAAGGACTTAACAGAGTGTTGCAGCCAAATAGTTTGGTGACCTGGGCAACAGCATTACCCGTCTCTGATATCTGTAAAGGAGGACCCATACGGCCAGAGGTAAAATCAGGCACTTTATGCCTTGTATGAAAGAGTCTGTTAGTTACGGGCATTACGTCTTAAAATATACCAGACAACAGAAAGGTTAGTCTTGCAAATAAAATCGAAACTGAAATGCCTGTCACGTATCGTCCGCGCATAGTAGAGAAGTTTCACACAACGGATTAGCTAAAACGTATCCGCATCCGTATCTCATTGAGTTTACGGATACGTTTTTCGATAAAGTATGTAATTATGAACGCATCCCAATCCGTATTTAATTGTAGTGAAAACTAGGGTCAAATAAAAGACTTCTTCTGCACTGCACAGATTTCAATACAATTGGGAGTGTCAGCTCTCAGAATCATAACTTCATAAATATTTTTGGGTAGCCACAACCAGCTACCCAACCAACATAATATATTCTCAAGAGCACACAACCCATCCAAACTTATGGAGGGGAGTGTAAGTACTAGTCATGTAGCGCTATGGTGGGTTTGGTGCCGGTGTGAAAGAAATGATGGTCCCCCAGGGATTATGATCCCCTTTCTTAACGGCCCTTACTGGCCCTGATTGCGTATAGATAATGAGGGAAAGAGTTGTATTTAGGTCACCATATAAATCAAAGGAGAGTAGGACCATAATTTGATAGGATCTCCTACCCTTTCACACCTGGTTATGCTCTATCACGTTCTGTGTATTTTGTCACTAGGTTATGTTCTATTGTACTTCTACAATATCTTCAACGATTATATTTAGACGCAAACTGAATGTCAACACCAGCATGACAATAAATATTGTTACCAAAATCCCGAGGTAGACACAGGGCTAAATTATCGAGTCTAAATTTATGTATTTTAAATAAGGCCAATGCATGGAAGTTAGGTAGTAAATGAAGCCAAAAACTTCTCTGAAGCTGAAGCTGTGTTGTTTGGTGAAATGTCATATGGAGAAAACATGATTGTAATTGAAATAAAAACGTATTATTACTTATTCCAGAAAGAAAAATATGATACTTTATCATTTCATAACAAAAGACACAAAATTGGTATATTAACAGAATATGGCAAATGGCCATTATTTTTGAAAAACTTTAATCATAACGATTTAAACGAATTAAACCAAGTGTTTTGTATGTTAGGAATGCTTTAGGCTAAAATTTATCCAGTGAAAATGTCATGTAAAATCGTTGAGAATTGGAAACGTTATCTGTCAAAATTGGTGTGTGGCTTGTTCTGTCCCGGCTCCTATATATTTTATTTCTATTTTATACCAATGTCTATTCAATTTTTTCTTATAGCTTAAATTTCAAAGGGGACTCTTGAATAAACTTGTGAATGAAGCAAACGCCTGGGCCTGTGAGATAGTGCCTCGATATGGCTGTCGTGTACTAGACTTTAATCTCTATTCACATATGCAGAAATTTCGTATAAAGGGAGATGGAATACACTGGAACAGGTAAATATTCTTGTTCAGGAGTAAACTACATGTAAAATATTTTTCCAGTACCTTACCCAGTGAAAATGTCATGTAAAATTATTAAAATTGAAAAAAAAACTTACCAGGAAAAGAGAGCTGAATGACGTGTTCTATCCCGGTTACTATATATATTATTTATATTATTTTACTTTTTATTTAACGTTTAAATTCCGTAGAGGATTCTTGAATGAACTTAAATGAACTTCAGAAAAGAATATTACCATTTTTATTAAACTTCAAGCAGTCTTCTTTAGATTACAATAATACATGAGGGAGACTTCCAGTCTATGCTTGAAGATCGTGAAGATCTTAAACATGAAAACCATGCTACCTTCTGCTACCCTTAATACATTAGGTTTTCTTATAATAAATGTTTACTTTTATATATAGTTCACGGGCTCGTGTAATGAGTTTGGTATGCAGTACAAATAGACTTCTGGTATTATATTTCATGTTGCAGACCTATTAAACATCTGTTGATTAAACAATCCAACAATATTGATTTCTATATATTGTGTTTTATATGGTGTTTACCCCTGGCATTTATATTTAATGTTATCTTACTTGGTGTTGCAGCATCTCCCACAGGCGTATAAGTAACCTCTTAATCAACAATGTATCTGTTTTGTGGAAATATATGGGTCGGCCTTTTGGATACGGCACACCCAATCTTAGGAACGGGCCTTTTATCAGGTATACCCTGTAGTTACTGATTGTCATTACTACTAGACGAGAATATTTTCAAATATTAGTCAAGCAGAATCAACGGAATTGTGTCAATATTTTAACTATTTAAGTTTTATTGATTGATTTAAATAATATTGATTTTATTGATTTAACTGATCAATTTTCGTTGCTATCTGCTACACCATTGATTTAGCCCAATTACTTACAATCCAGTAAATAGTCAACTGTCAACTCAATGAAATCAATTTTTCCGGATTTGATTATGAACCATTTACCTTTGATAACAGTCAGTGTCGGGTTTAAGTAAGATAAGAACTTTGCTTCGAGTCCTAAGAGAAAATGATAGCCGCGGGCTATCGGCCCTTGGCTATAATTTCACATAAAATCCAAGATTCATTGTTTATCCGTTACAGAATAGATATATCTGATCAAAATAAGAAGCTATTGCCGATTTAATGCAGAAACAATAACAATTAAAAAAGTGATTCTCCTTATATAATATTCAAGTAATGGTGTAATGTTGTTTTAGGAGTACAGTGAAGAACTTAGCCAGGTCGAAAGGTTACCACCCAGGTAACTTCCACATATTTGATAGCCAGTTACGGGAAAAACAAAAAGCTGATTTGGCTAAACGAGTACAGAGCCCTGTGGCCCCTACCAAACAAGAGAATGACCCGAACATCCAAAGTAAGTCAGAGAAAAGGCATAGCTCCCCTATCAATCTAGTAGATGTGCACACTCCTTCGACAAATCGATTAGACAAACCTACCATCCTAACTGAATCATTGGAGAAACCTACCAGCCTTAAAATACCAGCAGAGAATTCTACAGCCCATACCAAACAAGAAGAACAAGAAAAAAAGTTTACAGAAATAGTAGAGAAATCAAGCATCTTTGATAGAAAATTGAATGTAACCTCATCCCTACCTTTCACCATTACCAAAGCAATAGAGAAACCTGCCAATCCATCCAGTTCTTTGGAAAGACCTACTAGCCCTACAAAACCAGGAGAGAAACTTACGACCCATAATTATACAACAGTGGGCACACCTACCGCTCTTACCGAACAAGTGAATAAACCTATAATCCTTACCAACGTAGGAGATAAAACCCCAACCACACCTAGCATCCCTACCGAATCAGAAGAGAAGTCCGCAACCCTTGCCAAACCAGTGAATAATTATAGCACTCTTACAAAACAAGCTGAGAAACCTATCACTCCTACCAAACCAGAAGAGAAAAATACATCTTCTCTAAAATCAAGAAATGAATATACCACTACCACACTTACAAAACTGGAAGAAATGCAAGACAGTCATGTCAAACCTGTAGGGGAATGTACCACCGACACTGATAAACCTATGATTCTTACAGAAGTACTGGATAAAATGTATACCCCTCCAAAACTAATGAAAAAAACGTCCACTCCTAACAAATCATCGGAAAAACCTGCGACCCCTACCAAACAAACCCAGAAAGTAGCCACCTATTCTAAACTTGTGGTCAACGGTAACACCCTTAAAGAACAAAAGGACAAACCTATCAAACACATTGAAGTGGTTGAGAAACATGTCACTCATATCACATCAGTTGAGAAACCTATTAGTCCTCCAAAACCAGTGAGGACACTCACGACCCCTAACAAGCCAATGGGTGGAAATTCATGTATTACCCCTATTAAACGTACACCCTCTACCAAACTAGCAAACAACGCTGACATTCCAACCACAACAGGGGAGACAACAATCACTCCTACTAAACAATTACAATTAGAAACCATCCCTATCAAAAAAACGAATAAGCCAAAGAAATCTGTCAAACAACAACACAGGCCTGACATCACTACTAAATCAAAAGATAAACCTACCAATCCTACCAAAAAAGTAGCAAAACCTACCACTTCTGAAAATCCAAACTCCTACCAATGGCTGTGGAAAACTCTACCACCCCCAACATATCAGCGCATAAACCCATACCAGCAGGGAAACCCACAACCTCTACCATATAAGTGGAACAACCTACCATTCCAGTGGTGAAACCTACCATCCCTACCATACTTCCAAACCAGGAAAAACACATGCTATCACCTCGAAATCTCTTTGGAGCCAACCAAAAAGTGTAAAAACATACTCAAAAGTCAAAAATATCAACTTGAGGTTTCCCAGTACAGTAGATAAGGACATTGCTGAAGTTATTCAGAATAAGAATAACAAATCGGAACTAAAGTATGAATTACTATATGTATGTTTTAAATGACAATGATATTCAGTTTATTATGTCCCTTAATACAAAATAAAACAATTCAATAAATGAAGGAAGGAAAACTAGGCCCAAAATTAAAAATGGCAAACTAATGTGTTTTCGTGAAGAATTGGTTTTAAGAGAACAAAAGCAAGGTACATAACGAAAACGATATGAAGAAAAAGTTGTAAGAAGAAAAAGTGCATTGTAGGATTCCAGCTTTTGTTTTTGCAGAATTCTGAAAGGAGTACCTCACCATCAGATATTGTCAGTTTAATTTGATCAAATCGAATATAATCCACACCAGCACCTGCCATTTCATATGTTAGATTCTACTGCGATTTTTGTTACTCGCATTCTACTCAAGTTTGCCCTTGCAGTGGATGAACATGTTCTCTACAGTATGGTGGCGGTCGTGCCATCTAATATTTTGCTCGTTCTGCTGGTGTATTGATCTCTCTATTTGAAACAAGGTCTTCCACTGGTTTTAACATATTTGCTTTGAGTCAAGTCTTGATCGTGCCATCTTGTGAAAGGGATGGAGGGAATGCCTGGTTCTCATGTCGGAAAAAAATCATCTAAGTTGCGAATGGGGCAGTGTCATTTTTCAAGATAACTAGCTTTGAACTTGAGTTAGATTTGTTTGATGGTCTTAAAATTGTTTCTCTTGATAGGGTCTGTGATGGCTTTTGATATTTCAATAATTCTCTCCTTTATATATATACTTCGCATTGACTTTTCCCCTTTTTCTCAAACTGTGTTCAATTTGTCGACTGCACTGCTTTAATTGACATTACATCTTTAGTATCAAGTGTCCAAAGTTCCTTTGATGTTGCAATAAATGGGTTTCCTAAATCATTGATAACCTCAGTAAGGAAAATGACATTTTTCTTGAAACAGGTTTGATAACTAACACTGTGCTCATGGTTTGCAAGGACCATCATTATCCTTCGTCTCATCCTCAAACTCAATTAACATTCTTGCGATCTCATGACCACCGACAATCCACTTCTGTAATGTGGTTGGATTGTCGAACAACCTCACAGCTCAAACCTCACTTTTGATCACACTATTATTTTGCTCATGGGCTTGGTCTATTGACATCGAGGAGAAGCTTCTTCTTGAGTTGCAGACAGTGAAATGCCCCTTCATGAGAGCATTGTGAACTTCAGGGTGGATTTCTTTGAGCTGAACCATATCATTTACATGGACAGGTATATAGCGGGCATAATTGGTATGATCAAGGGAGAAAAACCATGGCATGATTTTGATGATAGTTTCTTTGTAGAGCTTGAAGTCACCAAGTCTCACAGCTCTAACAAAGTACTATGTTAGACACAGGACATGTAATTGGAGTACCATGTACAAGAATTTGAATAGAGGCGACCCTGATTATCACTCTGCTGGGGGTCCATCCAAGATTTAAAATCAAGAGGCAAAATTTATTTATTGGCAATCTATCTGAAATCTACCCAAGTAACAAGATACAATACACATAACACCCCTTCTTAATTCAAAACTGCCCTCCATTAGACCAACAATATCATATTTCAAAACATAGCAGTTCCGCAAAATAGGCAGAAGTACTTCTTGATTGTTTTTATTAATAATGTAGGTCAAAATCATTTTTACAAAAACTGATCTAGATCCTATCATAAACATTGATGCTCATTGTCACTCAAGCACGACCTTGTCAAAAAAAGAAGTGATTTTGGTAGTTGTTTAAGAAAGATAAACTTTTTGCTAGATTATTCTGTACTTGCATTCAAGTCACTCATCAGATGTCACATAGTTTGTCAAATTTTATTTTAAATTAAAATTACATTGTTTATTATGTCGAAGTATATGCCACTCTGGAAAAGAGATAAAAGGAATTAATTAAAGATAAGAATATATTCATTTTGCTAATTTGCTAAAAATTGACTGCAATCTCACTCATTATCATATGTATCATGGTAAAAGGTCCCAACATTGAAATCATGATACTATTTAATGATAATCCTAAAATGTTATGGATGGTCATTAAGCCTACCTCTATAATTTTAGGGGCAGGGGTAAAAATTGCGAAAAGTAGATAAAAGATGGAGGGAATTTTCGGCAAAGTTGCTTTTTACACCCAGGAAGTTTGTCTGGTCATATGTGGAAAGTTCCACGATTTGTTCCGTTTTCGGAGCTTTCATCCTTTTTATGTCACTATTTATCTCGCTACTCAAAAAACTACTTGTTAAAATGACCGAGTAGAATTATCTCAAATCTTAGAAACATTCCCTCTTTCTATCAAACAATTTGAATCTTTCTTTTTTGTCAAAATGCACACTTTAAAAGGGACAAATCAAACACCTCACTTAAATAGTTTTGCTGTTAAAGGGACGTTAATGAGACTTCTCCGTGACATTTTTTCTTTATTTTTTTTGTTTTGAATTTTTACACCATAAAATTAACTAACTACTCATTATGCAACTTTTCACCACGTAGAATTTTAAAATATTCAGCTTGAAAATTCCATTTTTATAATGGAGCTCAATGGGAAAAATGACATAATTTGGATTACTTTCAAACGTAGCGGCGCGGTTTTCTTGAAATTGACAGATCTAATAAATATTGGTAAGACGCAATGTTTGAAGAAAAATGAAGAAAATTCACCATCCTAGTTACGCAGATATAGAAAAGCGTGAAATAATCTTAAAAACCTGTAAAAATAGATTGAAGGGGTGATATTCATTTTAAATGTGCCTTTCACTACTACAGGGTAACCATAGTTTTGGTAATGGTTTACTAATTTTAAAAGCATATCTTCCAGCATGTGTATCAAGCGGAAGTAATACAATAAGTGAGTTATCATTAATTGGAATGGTTTTATTGTATTCCTTAGCAATGATGATAAAAAGTTAAAATCAATCATATCACATACTAGTTCTTACCATCACATCGATCTGTTATAATGCATATTAAACAATATAGCAGTAGATCTTCAAATTCAAGAATTGAGCTAAATTGTAAGATAATAGATAAATTGCTAATCTCTTATAACTGTATAATCCATTTCTCAGAATCATACTAAATTATAATATTTCGGCATGCTTATTTTAGCTGCTGTAGTTTAGGTCACTTGATGAGATATTCAGTAACATGCTGTCACTAGAGACAAAAATTGACACTAACTAATCACTCAAAATAAACGATATGAATTTGTCATATTTTCTTCTTTTGTAATACATCCAATCTTGAAAATTAGCGTTCAAAGCTTTTCAATGCAATCATGAATCTAGTGATCTGACCCTTGAAATACTTTTCAGGGGGAATAGTTTGTCCACCTGTAGCCCTTAGGTGTAGCATCTTTTTCTAGCCATATTTTCCTAGGCCTGCTGGAATACCTATTTCAGTGTGCAAGTTTAGCACTGTTTTCCCGTTGATCATCTGAGTTCTCATGTCAATAACATACGGAAATAAAAGTGATAGAGTAGTTTATTTTATTGTAAAAAATAAAAAATAAAACAAGGTTTGGTCAGGAAGGGAACAGGTGAAATCCTTGTGACATATAAATTAATTAATTATAACAATTTAGGGTAACCCTGTGTATTATTCTACTGAGCATGGTTATACCCGTGCAAACTATTACAAAATCTTATTTACTTATTATCATAATTCAATGTGACAATATCAGTCTTATCTTCAAATTTGTCTATAATAGTTTGCCTGTTAGGTTGGGCAAGCTGTCTATTGCGTTGATAATATAAGATGTTCATTTTGCAAAGCTCTTATGAGCTAATTCTACAATATGTACAGTAACTATATGTAAGGGTGCCAGTGTGTAGTCCAGTATGCAGTAAACAAAGGAGTATTTTGGTCAACTCAATACATCTGATAAACACTACATGAAGTGCTTTCTATGCAATGATTATATACAGGCTGCTTATTCATTGTTACTGCGAATTTCAAAAGCTTCCAAATTGTGTGGAATAGAGCATGCAATGTTTTTCGGTTTCAAGCAGGTTGTGGTACATTCTGACCAATTGTATTTTCAGACTTATTCATTTCATGATTATGTAATACTGACCTACTTATCTGCTTAACATGTCTTTAAAACTTGCACTGACTAATTACATGCACATTACTTATGAAGGGATATTGCTGCTCTGAGTCATATATGGACAATATGAGATCACGGAAAATATGATACGTATATCCTTTAAATCGTGGAATTTATGGTTCACTACGGGGTCTACACTTATGGTAATAAGAAAGAGCCATCCTCTCTCATTTTAAATTACGATTTACCCTTGATACTTAATCATTAACAATTATTTTGCAAAATCACCGACTGTACAACTACCTTAAGTGTTGTTCCTTTTAAAAAAAGTCAGGAAATGTGTGTTCATTAGATATGAAAAATAATGTGTTTTTGAAATAAAGAATGCTCTTTTAATTTTTGTTTTCTAACAAGGTGATTTTATTCTAAATACCAGTCTTGTAGTAAAATGCACAAAGGATGCAAATATAGAGCTTTTTCTTTTCTTGCATCAGTCAAGGCCTGTCAAGGCCTTTGTGACCCAACAAAAAGAGCAGATGTCTTCAATTACTTGAAACAAAAACAAATAGATATTTTATGCTTGCAAGACACCCACTCTTCTAAGGAAACTGAAACAGTTTTTGAAAGGATTGGGAAAACAAAGCCTTTATTTGTTCCTATAAAACCAACAGTAGAAGCGTATGAATCTTTATAAGGGAAAATCTAGACTATAACATTCATAGTATAGATATTGATGTATAGGGAAAGTTTGTTATACTAGACATTAGATAGAGGGTAGGAGATTTTCCCTGGTTTCTTTATATGAACCCAATACCGATTCACTTTCTTTGAAAAGCAACTGAAAAGCAACTGAAAAGCAAACTGGAAACTATTGAACATGCCTCTATCTCCTTGATGGGAGATTGGAATCTAGTTTTAGATACTGATCTCGATACCTTGGATTATGAACAATCAAACTCAAGAGAAGGGTTTATGAACTTTTATGAAGCTTTATAAACAATTATAACTATATGATATTTGGAGAGAATTTAATCCCGAGCAGAAATTTGACAAATGACAACGTCAAATGACA